TAGAAGATGAAAATTTCCTCCCATTTGACATTTAATGAACTTACAGAACACCCTTACACTATATATGAAGCACCATTCTTTAATCCCCTCAAAATGCTATGAAATTACATCATGTCTTAAAATTTACAAAAAACCCATCTAAGCAAGTATTCTGTCTCACCGCATCAAAAGTTTATCACATTCAGTGTCAGTATTTGCACTCTCCTGGGACTTGATCTCTTAAGCTATTGATATAAAATGCTGGTAGAGTTTAATCTATCATATATCCATTGTAGCTTGGCTTCTAAAAGTTATTCTTTCTAGCCAATGTCCTGCCTTGCTGACTGTGAAGCCAGAACATGTATAAGCAGGCAACATGACAGCCTGCCTCCCATCATCCACTGCATCTGTGTACTAGGTCATGTTCTTTGCTTTACTGCAAGTTGAATTATAGGGTCCGTTAAACCAGAGCACAAATGAGATATTTAGTTCTTTTCCAAATTAATCAACAGCCTCCTAGGGAATGTACACCATATTGAGCTATTCGGTTTATCTCCTGCTTGCAAGACTCACTGTTAAACTCAAAACTGCTAGTTTTGCTATTGTTAGCTTTCAAGTCTAAAGCTGATTTTACTTCCAACAATGAAAAATTGATTTCAGGTAAGGACCCCATATACTGTATTGCAAGCTAGAACAGTCGTAAAATAAACAGTGCTAGAAGCCATGCATGGCCAGTGAAACTCCATCACCTGCAGCTGAAGTTGTTTGCACAGTCCCTGGAATCATTCCAGTTGTTGACTCAATCCAATTAACATCTTCCTATGCAATTTCCAGGCACAGTGTAGGAGTTAGCATGGACCCCAAATTCTTCCCAAGAAACTGTTCTCATTCAGTTGTTCTATTTTGGGACAAAGAATATTCAACAATCCGGTTGACCTCAGTTCTAGAGGCATGTTCAAGTTACTTGTCTAGGCACTTGGTTATACACCAGTATCTGAACTGATGCTGGGTTTAGAAATCAAAGGCTTATCTGCATTTCTTTTGTTCTTGTCGAAGTGAAACAGTCTGTTCTGGTGACTGACAGTGAAGGAACTTTATGCTTCATTTGGACTGGGTTTTATCAGAGCTAGTCTTTCTTTCCAAAATTCTCTTTGAACATCATTTTTTACTATGTACCAAATAGGTTTCTTTGTCAGATTAAAGCTGGTATGTCAAAGATCTATTTTAGAAAGAAAATTTCATACTTCCATGGACATAACAAATGTCAGAAACTTTCCTTTGCCATGAAAAGTGCATATAAAATAGTTTCAGAAGATCACAGAGAAATCCGCATGTTATTCACTTGTCATAAATGTTGGTTTCCTAAGCAGGGTGATACTATAGTTACTTATGAAGTTTCACTTTTCTTTTTTTTTAAGTGCAAATAGTCTGAAAAACAAACTCTTGAGCAAAATCAGAAGTGTGCTTTTGATGACATCATAGAAGAAGCTATGTAGTATAATGCTGCTATAGTAAGTCTAACTGGTCAGATGTTGGAAATAAAGTATCTTTGGGGGGGTAGCATCAGTGATGATTTCAGAAGTTGTACAGGTGGGTACTATGGAGGACATCCATGTCCCTCCAGTTGCACATCTGCTGTCATTGGGTGTCGTTTCCTATCTCTTAAAGGGTTGTAATACATAAGCATTGTTACTGTGAGAGGCAATAGAAGTGGCATTTCACAGAGACCCTTAATACCTGCTGAGGAGTCACCCCAATACTCTTCTTGCACCCAGTTACTATAGTGTTTTGGGACAGAGGATAGCATGCAAGGGAAATGCAAGTGAGAGTCCCCTGGAGAAATAGGGAGGATATGATCATATACATAGAGGAAGTATATATGACAAACAGAGGTTGAACAAGCACTAAGGAATTCTGAATGCATTTTTTTGAGCTTTATCTTTGATGGGGAAACTTCTGTGAACCTGTGATGATAATATGCATATATATATATATATATATTTACACATGATATAGCAGCAGAATAAAATTTCCAGTTGTTTATCATCAGTAAAATTAATAACATCAGCTTTTCTTAAGACATATCAAATTATTAAATAGTGATAAATAGATTGGAAATGTTAAAGGCTTGCAAAGATGTAATGTTACCGTTCATCCCTGAAAAACAACAGATGTAATAAATAGTCCCATATAATTTGAAATAGTGGACTGTAGCAGGTGTGAATAAAACAGTTTGTTAAAAAAGAAATATTTTCTCATAAAAATCAATTTTATGTCAAAATATTATGCCTTTCTTTTTTAATATATTTTTTCTCCTGCTCGACTGCTGATGATATTTCCCTGACATGGTAGGAAGCACTAGAGAGAGTTGTTTTGTCCTTATTTCTTCTCTGAAGTTTTTTTATTATGTGTCAGGTCTATGGACTCTGAGAAACTATAACTAGACTTTTGCTAAGTTTTGCACCATACATTTTTTCTTTCATTTCCCTCACACTGGCCTAGTTTACTAGACCTCTTGTTTCTTTAAACTCTTGTTCCTGCAGAGAAACCTCAAGCAATTGGAGACTTCCTTACCTGTGCTGGCTACTCCCAGCTCTTAGAGCTCCCGTGGTGTAAATCTATCATATGTGTGTCATTGCATGTGACAACACAATAACAGATGTTACACAACACTGCCTGCAGATAAAATAAAAGTAAATGTTTTATTTTTGTAAACACGTGTGAACCATTGTCTTTGATGTTTATATCACCTTCCAGGAGTGCACTGTATCAGCAATCAATTTCTACTCTCTAATTGCATGCAAACATAGAATTTTAGTTATGACAAATCTTTATTTATGGATTATTATTTTCAGGAAGTGGTATAGGTGAGAAAGAAAGCTTAGCAGAGAACAGCTATTTAGAAGAATTACAGTGTGTGCTTAATGTGTCTCTTCTGAAAGAGACAAACCAAGCTTAGATCTAATTTTCAAGAATCATGAAAAGGTAGACAAAAAAGGTTCCAACAAGTGTTTTTCTTATGGCTTACAGTGAAGCAATAGCAAATCTTCCTCAGACTTACTATAAAAGCAAAGAACCTCACTGTCATCCTAGTGAAAGCATGGTGAATCCCATCTGCAGGTCATCTACCATAAGCATCTCTGTGATAGCCAGTTTCATTGATGCAAGTTAATTCCTGATTTGAATCACAGTAAACATGGAGACAGTGATCTGTTTATTGATTCCTGTGCTTTCAAGAGAGAGGAGCTTTTAGCATTAACCTCCTAGTTGAAGTCCATCCATTTTCTCCACGGCTCTTGAGGAACTCTTTGTATATCATAAGAGACTGAATAGTGTGTGTGCATTGTTGTGGATTAACTTAACATCTGCCTGACAGATATGAAATAGAGCACTTGTTGAAACCTAAGTTATTGTGAGGTGCCAGCTGGAGTCAGGCAGGATACCCTCCAGCACCAGATCACAATTTGTGAACAGCAAAATGGAACTCAAGTACTGTTGATCTGCTCTGGAAAACAAAGAATGCAACTCAGTAGCAGTCTTTGTACTTACCTCTTATTGCACTGCATAAGGATAGCGGAGAAGGTAAATTGCTATGTTCCTCACACTGTTTAGTGATTATTTTGATGAATCAAAAGCTCACAATAATAAAAATATATATTCTCATTTTTTGAACTAGTGTGTCAAAAGCGGTTTTGTTTTAATGACTGAAGGAAACAGAGGAAAAGGCAGTGTGTTACTGCAATTTGCATTATCAGCTGAGAAAATTGCAAGAAAGTACAGTTCTTTAATAAGCTGTTCAGCCTCTACTTGAACAGCAGAGGGAAATATTTTTTGTGTACCTTGTTCTTTGAGATCAGGTTTTTCTCTTCCCTCTTTCCTCTTTTGCTTTTATTTTTTTTCCCCTGGGTAGAAGATAGAGCCAGGAGAAAATCATTGTGTTAGAAGGAATTAGTTTTGCAAAGCCTTTGCATAAAGTATGCAGAATAAAAGTAGAGGCATTAAATGCTTTATTATATTTAAGACTTTAGAGGTTTTTTATAGCTGCTGTGTTTTGGTATTAATTCTAGTTTAGAACTGAATAGTTTGGAATCAAGACTGTGACCATTATCTACCAGTCCTTGGGAATTTATCTCCTATGGATTTTGTTTTTCCATTTATGTTCTGAATTTTAATTTATATGTTAGTAAGTTATGGTTGGAAAAGCATTTTATGTGAATGTTTTTCTAATAGCATATGAGATTGAATCAAAATCTTAGTAGGGAAGCTCACCACTGAACTGTGCAATCTGTGCCTGCCATAGATAAGTCAGGGTATTTGTGCAGCACTAGGAAGATGAAAATGCTAATAGCTATTCAAATTCTTACATATTCTTTCTGCCCAAGCTAAATAAATGGATAAGAAGGGCTGTATTTAGTTGTCTGCATAAAACCCTTTAGTGATGCATGGGTTGCATAGGTTGTCAGAGACATTTCCATGGAGGTAGCAAATGTGCACAGACCTTGTGAAAGCCATGAGCTGTGCTGGAGTGCAGATGAGATAATGAGGCCTCAGTACCTTAGATGGACAACTGAACCAATCTCTACGTGATGTAACCACTACAGTCAGGTGTGAATGTCCTTCAATCTACTGAGCAGCAGCAACTGCAGATGAACATACTCTTAAACTGTGAGAAGCATGAGGTAGTGGAACTGAATGAATAAATTAAGGATGAGGTGCAGGTCCACATTTGGTGCAAATTACGTTGTATCATATTTTTTCATGTTTGCCACAGGTTTAAGAAATGCATACAAGCAAATGGTATGCTCGTAGATATGCTTTAACTTGGTAAGTTGAGACAACTTGGCTATATGTTTTAGCTTCCACTTTTGTTGTTCTTACAGGTTCTATTGATAGACACCATTTCAGCATCACTTTTTAGTATGATTTTTAAATACTTATATATTGCAAATACTAATTTGTTGCACTGTACTCCCAAAATTTATTATTGATTTAATCTTTATTTTCATATTGCAGAGGCAAGGTATTAGAATGGCATAAAATATGGCCCAGTTCTACTACAAAAGAAGCGTCAATGCTCCCTACAGAGATCGTATCCCTCTTCGCATTGTACGGGCAGAATCCGAACTGTCTCATTCAGAGAAGGCCTATCTGAATGCTGTGGAGAAAGGAGATTATGCCAGTGTAAAGAAAGCTTTGGAGGAAGCAGAAATTTATTTCAAGATCAATATTAACTGCATTGATCCCTTGGGAAGAACTGCACTCCTTATTGCAATTGAAAATGAGAACCTTGAGCTCATTGAGCTGCTGTTAAGCTTTAACGTATATGTGGGAGATGCTCTGTTGCATGCTATACGGAAGGAGGTAGTTGGTGCTGTGGAGCTGCTGTTAAATCACAAGAAGCCCAGTGGGGAGAAACAGGTACGTGCAGGATTTTCTCTGTGTTTGTACTCTACTCTAATATAAAGATCTACTTCCAACATGAGAACCTTGAGCTCATTGAGCTGCTGTTAAGCTTTAACGTATATGTGGGAGATGCTCTGTTGCATGCTATACGGAAGGAGGTAGTTGGTGCTGTGGAGCTGCTGTTAAATCACAAGAAGCCCAGTGGGGAGAAACAGGTACGTGCAGGATTTTCTCTGTGTTTGTACTCTACTCTAATATAAAGATCTACTTCCAACACCCTGCATGGGACATCTTTC